GAAAAACAATATTGAGTTTTACGTAAAAATAGCTGCAGAAGGGATTAAAAAGATGTCTTGGAGCCTAAAGTCATGAAGTATGGTAATCTTGCAAAAATTGTTTTTGGTTTCCACTGATCGGAAACGCAAATAAACCCCAACTGGAGCGCATCTTACTCAGGAATGAATGGATTTCCAATCTGTGTTTTCTTGCTTACCATGGAAAATATGCAACCCAAGGAAAGCACAGGTGGTTAAACTGTTCAGTGCCTCTATTTTTATCACGTGCAGAGGACGGTACGCATTCAAACCCAAATATTTTACTTAATAGAAAACGAAGACTAATTTCTCAAGGTTAAGAGGCTCCCGGTTTCCTGTGGCAAATTTAGGTTTTCGTCCATTGGAAAAGCTGTCCGGATCCAGGACAGACTGAATTCCAAAGCAAAAATAAAAAGCTCCCAACTAGCATTTTAAAAGAAGCATTTCTTTAAATTTAGGATTTCTCTATTTTATTTATTTTTTTCTTTCTCAGCTATCTCTTCTTTTCCCCCAAATCAGGTCACAGCAGGGAGGAACGTCACCTCCCCAGTTGAAGGTTGGATGTTTGTGAAATGAAGCCGAGACCCCGTGTGTCCCTAGGGAAGGTGACGCCCCCGCTCTCCCGGGCTTGTGCGGACGTGTCTCGGGCGTGACCTCTGAGCAGCTGCGCCACCCGCTCAGCCTCGAGGTGGAGAAACCCGAGCTCGAGGCAAAACCCCCATCTTTGGCAAGTCCTCCGCTGTTTCAAGACGCTGCCCGCGGCGGGGAAACGGGCCGCGTGCCCGGGACTGGGGCGGGGGTGGGGGGTGGGGGGGGGCTCTTGCCTGGCCTGACATTCCTAAAGGGCTGAGCGTCAGCTCACCTCGCAACCGACTTGTTACTGGGGCTGGGGGTTGGGGTTGGGGTTGGACCAGAACAGAGGGATGTCCAGGGAAGCAAAGCAGAGAGCTTGGCTCACCTTCTGCCCTCGGGGGATCTCCAATTTTGAGATTTCTTTTTTCTTTATCCCCCCTCCCCACCCCACCCCACCCCACCTCCTACTTTTTTTCTTGCAGATTTTATGAGATTATTTATTTAGACCCTGACAAAACAAAATCTTCCTGTTATTCCACCCCTGGCCCTAACACTGATAAAAGTTTTTCCAGACTGTGCAGCCTCTACCAACCTGAAGCACTGGGCTACAAAGCTCAACTTGACTCTGAATAGTGGATTCCTGTGGAGGTGGTTAGTTCAGAGAGATCACATACTAGTCAATAATAGTTATTTGAGGGCTTCTTCTGTGCTAGGCACAGTTCTCAGCACTTTCATGTAATAACTCATTTACTCTTCACAACAATCCTATGAAATAAGAAATTTTATTCTCCCCACTTTACAGGCACCAAAACTGGCATAGAGAAGGTTAGCAACCACATGGGGTGGCAGAGCTATAACTGGTAGGTTGGGCTGGGGTTTAGATTTCTGCAATTTAACTCCAGAGCCTGTGCCCATTCAATGAATGTTGTCCTGAAGACTTCCTCTCATCTCCACCAGGCAGAGGAAGGAGCCCTGGGAAGTTTGAATGTCAGACATGGTAAGTCAGGTGCTCTGCTTTGGTTAGAAAGAGCTGGAAATTGTCTCTGTTTGGGACAGATCAGCAGTTTGTTAATTCTCCTCTTGCTGTTCTCAGAAAGGGCCATGGAGGAATTTGACCTACTGAAGGTGACAGGAGATAAAGACTCTAGTTAGCCACCCACTGGGAACTTATCTGAAAAGAGGAGAGAGGGGTGGGAGAGGGAGCTGCCACCTGACTGCCCAGCCATGCTTCACCTGCCAGTTCAGTCAGGGGCTGTGTCTAACTTTTGTGGCCCTGGGAAAATGTTGGGAACCTGAAGGGCCCCATGCTGACACTCTGAAGTCTGGTAGTGCACTTACTGATGGACAAAGTTGATTGAGATGACCAGGAGTTAGGAGTTGTGTTCCCTCAGTGGTAGGGAGGTGTGCGGCATGGACTGAGTCAGTAGAGGGTGCTTTTGGGGAGAAGACAGTGGAGACCACGTTTCTGGGATGGTTTGTAGGCTAGATGGGCCTCCTTTCCCATATACACACCAAGGCAAGTTCCATCCCTCTGTCTGAATGTCTCTCTTGGTTAATTCGTACTCTTGGATTCTACTACCTACCTCTCTGCTTCACAGTTCCCAAGACACCATTCATTGCAGCTTTTATACCCAGCACACCTATATCAAGTCAGGCAGTAAGAGACTCTCCCCATTCCTCTTGCACACAGTGCACAGCTGAATGTGGAAAGTGAATCCCACTCTCCTTCAGAGAGCGGGGTCAGAGTACAGGGCAGTCCTGGAGCTATACCTGGGTCATCCTGACTGTTCCTGGGTGCACCCAGGTGAACCCTCAGAATACAGTATTTCTTCAGAATTTCTTCAGGTGGGTAAACTGATGTGATAGGACCCTTTGCAGGTTAATAAGTGTAAAATGTCTGGCTCATGGTAAGTGCTCAATGTATATTGGCTTCTGCTTTTACTGCCATTATGATGCTGCCCCTCTAGGCAGGTAACTCTGCCTTCCTGAATCTCATTGTCCTCATGTGCAAGGTTGAGGCAATACTATCTGTTTTATAGGATTGTTGTGAGGACTAAATAGTGTTAATTACTACTGTCAAGTTTGCAATAAATCACAGTGCTTCATGGGTTGCTTTAGCCTAGTTTATCTCCCAGGGGATGACTTTATTTCCAAACAGAAGACAGCTTCTTAGAAGAGCTTCAAAATATTGACCCTGGCTGGTGAGGGCATTTGGACACTTAACTCATCCAGCATCCCTTTCCCAGCTGTGAACTGGTATGATAATAACCACCTCTAGGAATCTCCAAGATGTTATGAGGAGAAAATATGTGATAATATACACAGCACTTTGAGCCCCTCTGAACAGAGACGCCCGTAAATAGAAGGTGGTATTATAAGGTGGAGTAATCGCTGGTGACTCCCCCTCCCTTTTTTATTTAATTAGGAGAAAACTAGTAATTAGGAAGCATGGCCTTGTGAAAGCTGTGGCCTGGGAAATAGTTCTCTTGGCACCTAATCAGAACTGTGACATGGCACAATTTTCTGCCAAATGTGGCAGCAGGAGACCTCGCCCCGGGCTCAGAAACAGGTCTGGAGATCATGAGGAATTCACTGTCTGGAGTGCAAGGCCCTGAGGTGGCTGACGCAGAGCCAGCTGGGGAGCCTCCTTGGTCTCCTGCTCCAGAGGAGATCCCCACCCACAGGCCTCAGTGGCCTTCATCCCTGGGGACTCAGAGTCCGTCTTATCTGCAGTTTACAGCTTGCTGCAACCCCAGAAACAAGCTGTCCCACCATGGGGCTCGTAAAAGATGTCTGATCTGGTTTGGTCTCTGATTCCCTTGCTGGGACAAAGAGTTCTCTTTAAGAAGGGCCAGTGTGGAGGAGGCCTTTGAGCCCTAGCTAGCCCGTGTGCCTCTACTCTGCAGCAGCCTCAGCTGGAGCGACTTTCCCTCCTCCCTGCAAATCCCCTAGGTGCTGCTGCAAGGTGGCCTTGGCCCGGAGGCCTCCCAGTCTTTCCAGTTCCATTGCACTCAGGCCTTCTCAGCTCTGTTTGGTAAAGTGTGGACTTTTGCTTTTTGTCCTTCAACTCTCCCACCTCTGCCTCCATGATGCTGGATGGGGTGGTGATGGAAAGTAAGTTGGGGAAGCAAAGTGTTCCCAGCCCAAGCTCCAGCACAGTGATGTCACAGGGAACATCAGCAGCAGGATTGCTGGTGGGCTCTGACTTCCCCTCACCACAATGACGATACAGGCTAGAGGCTTTCTCATAAACCCCGAAGACAGCAGTTCCTTTTTTTCAGTTATGAATTATATTTTAAAGGTGCAGAAAATATAAGACACGTATCACTCTGATTACCAGTTGTTGACATTTCTCATCTTTGCTGTGGATGTCTTCCTATGTATTTTTAAAAGTTTTCAATACAGCTAAGTTTTCCACCTCTCCAGACCCTCCCTGTGGGTCCCCACTGGCCTGTCATTTACCTGCACCTGTGGATGGTACTCAGGGGACTGGAAGGCTGTTGATTTTGTGCACATCTTCCTCACCCACACAAGTCCTCTCAGGAATGCCTCTCCACTCAGTCTCTTGTGGTGTGTGTGGCCGCCATTAACTTGCACTTGGACCATTTGCTCCTATGGACATTTTAAAGTCTTGGTCAGATCATATGGCCCTTTGCTCCAAGCCTACACATGGCTTCTGTTTCAACTCAGAGTAAAATTCAAGCCCTGAGGACCGATAGGACCCTATGTGATAGTAGCCTACTCTTTGCCTCTCTGACCCCATCTCCCAGGATACAGCCTTCTTTCCCGCCTCCCTCAGGGGCAGCCACACTGCTCTTCTCATTTTTCCTGGGACTTTCTGTGGGCAAGGCTTCAGGCTGTTCCCCTGACTGTCACCCTCTTTCCCCAGATACCTACAGGGCAAAACTCCATATTCTTCCATTCATTGCTCACATTTCACTTCTCCCTGAACTCTAGGCATAAGGCACTTATAAATATATCCCTCATTCCCACCATTCTCTCCCTTGTCTGGTCTAATATTTATTTTTCCATAGCAGGTATTTTCTAGCAAATTGTATATTTTACTTATTTATTATTTGTTGCCTATTTCTGCCTACTACAATGTAAGTTCCCCCAGAGTAGGAATTTCTGTTGTTGAGGCACTAATACTTCCTTCATTTCTACAGTAGTGCCAGGCACACGGGGGCTCTACAAAGATTTACTGACTGATTCAATAAGCCTATGGATAAATGCATCTGAGAATTTCTTTCTGGAGACGTTCCAGAATTCGTACAGATTTTCCAGGGTGTCTATGACACAAAAAAGGGTAGGAACCACTGACATGATCACCCATCAAAGTTTGCTGACCTCCTCTGCTTCTCGGGAGTCTGCCTGATGAAGATTATGAGCTTTTTATCTTTCTCCAGTTTGTGTCTCCCTGGAGCGCTAATCCTGGCAGCTACTGAGCCCTTCTCTCTGAGGACTGGTGGTAAGTCTCCCTGGATCTAGCCCTGGCTGGACTGGGTAGGGAGCTGGGAGGCTTTGGTAGAGAGTGTGGGCAGGAGCTCTGGCAGTGGGCCTGCCTCAGAGAAGCTGTAATTTTCCTATTCCTTCTGTGGAGACGTCTGGGAGCAGAGGCTGAATGTGGCCACGGCCTCTTGGGCATCCTTGGGGGAGGTAGGCAAGATGCCCAGAGCAACAGGAGCTGCTTCCTGCTTTGCAGGCTCCACACTAGGCAAGGAGCAAGACCAGGAAATCTTGCAGGAGCCCCAGCCCAGGAAGAACAGACGCTAGCTTGTGATGGGAGAGAGCGAACACAGATGAGTGGGGGGAACCTGGAAAGCAAAGAGACACAAAAGGCCATCTGGAGGTGATAGTGGGAGTGAATTGGAGGTGAGTCAGCCAGCTCACAGGGCAGTTAAAAGACAAGTGGGTAATTGTGGGTGCAGTCGGCGGGTCACACAGAAAATGAGGAACAAGTGGTTAATTGGGCCCACAAGCCCAGGATCCCGCCTATAATTAGCAAATTGCAGGGCTTTGATATTTGCTTTGGTAACAACTTGTGTAGTAAATTGCAGGGAGGAAAACTGCACCCCCAGCCTGGGAGGTGACCCTGTGTCTATGTTCCCTGAACCATTCTCTTACAAACACTGGCAAGCAGCGCACACATGAATGTACCCCAGTGATGGGGCTAGGGCTTGCACCTTTCTGCAGGTTGACATCATCTTCTGATGCTTTCTGTGTTCCTCTGTACCCCATGCTTAAGTTTTGCCAATCAGGGCTAAAGCTGAAACCTAGTTTGCTGGGGATATGCTCTCACTATTCCTCTGCTTCCTTAAGCCATAGTCCTTGGGGTAAGAGACTTTCTGGACAGAGACATGCCATTGGAGTGGCCATGGGTAATTCCCATGTGAGTGCCATGTGAGAGAGGAGGAGAGACAGCATTGTTGAGTTGTATTCATGAGGTTGGTTAATGCCAATCCCTGATCAGGCACTGGCCTTCATGGGTTTCAGCTCTGCAGGTAGCTCTGCAGATATTCCAACTAAAGTGCAGACTAGAAGCATACAAAATTTACACTGGGATTATCCATGGCAAAACCCTACACATGGTTGAAATGCAGAGATGAATGAGCACAGATGATGCGAAAATGCCAGGAGCCCTGGGTTTGAAATTGGACTCATTCTTGATGGATCTTGTGCAGTTAAATATTTATACATCATCTTTGTCATTTATGGGTCTGTTTCTATTGACTGCTTTTTCTTTTAGTTATAGTTATTTATGTGTCTAGTAACTTTTTATTAGATGGTAGACATTGTGCTGTTATATTAAGTATTTGTACTGTGCTATCTTCTTTTAAAGAGCATTAGGCTTTGTTTTGGCAGGAAGTTAAGTCATACAGGGATGAGTTTGATCTCTTTGAATCCTATCTTTAAGTTCTACTATGAAAGGCCTCGGTGAGTTTCCCTGCAGGAATAGTTCAGCCACTTTATTCACATGTGAAGACTCTGGGTTCTCCATGGAGTGCCCAAGGGATCAACAAGGACTCTTCACCTTTTCTGGTTGTTGCATAATCATTTCCTCACCTTGTGAAAGCTCTGGATTATTCTGTTTACAACTCTTGTCATTGTTAATAGATTATTATTTTGTCCTGGTCTTGTAGAGTTTCACTGGGCCTCCAACTTCCCAAAGATTCAAAGGGATATTTTAGCAGATTTATGGCTTCCTTTTCTGTGTATCTCCTTCCATTCTGGAATTGTGAGCCTCCCCTCCTAGCCACTTTATCTTTCTCACTCTCTGTTCTCTGTCTCCTCAACTTAGTGAAGCTACAAAACTGTGCCCATAGCCTAGAAATTATCTCCAATCCTAAAGCCAGGATTGTTTGGGGCCTGGTCTTGTTGATGTCTTACCAATCAAAAGTTAGCATTGCCCATTTCCCAATGTCTGAAAACAGTAGTAATTCTATCAAGACTGGAGGTTTAAATCTTATCAGGTTAAAATTCAGTCACCCCAAATATAGAAAGAGAATATACTACTAATTTTTACTTAAAATTCACTTATGATAAATAATGTACATAATGAATCTGAAAGCACCTACAAACATTTAAAAATTGTTTTTGGAACAGTGTGGTAAGTCTCTTCATCACCATCAGCATTTCCTTACCTGACTGGGTCAACACTGGATTCAGCGGGAACACTCCTTGTGGACCAAGTGTGATGGTGTCAGTCATGAATGAGACTGGATGTGTATCCCTCCCTGGCTACACCCAGAATGGGTCTCTATACTGTGTTTATCATCATGGGAATAATTTCATTGACTGTCACATGTGGTTTGCTGGTGGCTTCTCACTGGTGAAGAGAAGTTACAAAATATGCCTAATGGATAGCACTCACTGGAAGTAGGTAGCCTGTGCTTACTAAGCTGTCTAGAAAGCTCTCTCTCTCAAAATAAATAGTATTATTAGTATTAATGAAGAATCAGTAATAAGGTCTCTATAATCATCAGAGAGCAACACTTCTCCACAATGCCATCAGTTCTTCAAAACTCTTAACAAGTCCAGACATCTCCAACTGTAACTGCTTTGTATGAAATGCAAGTTTGATGAATCTTATTTTTGCATACATTGTGACATAAGTATTCTGGTTTGTGACTCAGAGTATTGTCTATCAAATCTAGAATAAAAATGCTCATTTTCCTTTGATACCAATAATAGCAATGGATTTAGCATTTTCATGAAATACAATTTAAAACTGTAAGGGATTTGTCTTAAAAAAAAAGATAAAGTTGGATTGGCTCAAATGCCTAATGTTACAGATAAGCAGACTGAGCCTTGGTGAGAAGAAGTGAATTTCCCAGTCCTTGATGACCTCTTAGTAAAAGAATGAGACTGAAACTCAGGCGACCAATTCCTAGTCTATAGGCATCCGTTCGTTCAGCTCATAATTATTGAGCATCTACTAAGTTCAGAGTACTGAATTCCTTGATATATGGACAATATATAACATGCTCATTCACAGAAACATTTAAAAATTGATTTTGGAACACTGTGGTAAGTTCCATAAATCAGCATATAATTTTGAGCTTTCTTGATTCTGACAAGCTTAATCAGAGTAGCCTCCATTGTCCAATGCAGAAATGCAAAAGGCTTTCAGCATTCAGGTCCTGTGGGATATTTTGAGACATATGAACATGTCAGGTAATTACTGTGGTTTTATGGCACTGTCAGACATGGTTATAGGAAAGCTAAGGATTTACTCTATATGCAGCCATTTCAGGGACCCAACGCAAAATGGATAATAAAACTTTAAGGAAATCGTTCATTGAGTTGCAAGATGTGAAGAGAGTGCTATATAAAATGGACAGAGTCCTGGGCTCCAGACCTGATTTCTCTGTGTCTAAGCATTTCTGTGAGGTGAGTACAACAGAGTAGATGACCTACAATGCCCGTTCCAGGTTGGAGAATCTGCATACCTGGTGCTCTATAGCAAGCCATCTTAGTGACATGCACAAAGAAGGCTGGGGATGGTGGATAGGACCTGAGTACCAAGAATGTGGGATGACATTCTAGGGTTTATTTATTTATTTTTGAGATAGGGTCTTGCTAGGTTGCTAAGGTTGACCTCAAACTCAAGGTCTTCCTCCTAAGAAGCTGGAACTGGGGGCATGTGCCATCATACTTGGCTCAGAAGAACATTCTTCATCAGAGGGGAAACATTAGTAAAGGTGATGAAGCAGGGATATGGCTAAAATGGAATTTGTGACCTGACCCACATGGAAGGACTAGCCTCGCTCAGTTGGATGTCTAGAAGAATTTGAGGATGCATGAGCCAGAAGCCTTTCTTGCACCCAGTTTGAGAAGTTCTGCATTAAAAGTTAAAAACTGTGATTTGAACTGTTAATTTAACATCAGAGATTATAAATGCAAAGTATAAATAAGACAGATTAAAATAGGAAGGATTGAACAGAAGGTGGATGGTTTTTATAGATCTATATATTGGTATTTTTTTCTTTTAATTACCACTGAAACAAAGACAGAAAATTTCAAGATTATTCAATAGAACTGTTCTCCTCCCCCAAAACAACACTCAGAGCTTTGCAGACTTCACTTTGCAAAATGGCGTTGAAAGGGGCTGATGGAAGATGCCAGGGGGGTGGTGATTAGGAGGTCGTGGGAAGCCTGGGATACCAGGCTTGAGGATGGGTGGCAGTGAGCATTTCTGTGTTCTCAGTCACAGTATGGCGGCTGAACTGGAGATTGGAAAGCAGAACTGGCACAGAGTCCAGGTGACAAGGATGAAGCATGGAAGGCTGAGGAGCCCGACATAGGGTGAGTGATGGAAGAAGCCCCAGATGCACGGATCCTGTTTGCTGATTGACGTGGGGCTGAGGGAGGAGCTGCGTTGCTCCCTAGGCATCCCGCAATCACTTGGGGAGTGGTGATTGTAGACTCCCTGAGGCTGAGCAGCATTAGGCAAAGGGCTGGCGAGGTGGGCAAACCTGGGCCTTCATAAGCTCATTCTGTTTCTTCCATGGTAAAAAAATAAAATAAAATAGGTGACCGCACCTATCTCTTGAGTTTAATAACAACTGATGAATTAGTGTGTATGAAAGTTCTGAGGACATGTTGGTCACTTTGTAAGTTCTCAGTAAATATTTATTTCATTCATCTGTCTATTTACAAATTCAGTGCAACTTGGGAGGGAAGTAATTAGTTCATTTAGGACCATATCAAACTGATTCTGAATAAAGAGATTGTATCTGAGGGGCTTTTTGTAGGATGGGACCACTCCTAGTCACTAGGCTGTGCCATACTTAAGGCTACAAAGTTCCAGAAGTCCCTTTCTTGACCTTCCTTTCATTACCAACCCCTTACACTGTGGTGCGTTTCTAGGTCTGTAACCTAGTAAATGACAACAGCAAACAGAAACGAAGGACAGGAGCAACATGAGGAAGGCACGCGATTGAATTGATACGTTTACTCCGTGAACCATTCCGAGGACATCTGCGGGATGCTGCCATCCTCCTCTTCTCTGTGGCTGGACAGGGCCGTCTGCCCTGAGGCCACAGAGTTGCCTGGTCTTGGGAGATGCTCTCTCAGCTGCGAGTCTCCTGTGCCAGGAGCACTACCAGGCACTGTTTCTCAGGCCTCCTGATCTCTGTTTGGTTTGCATGTTGCTCAAATCGGATCCACCCTTCCAGGCTGGCCTCTTGCCTTTTTCTTAGGTCCAAGGGACCAATGTCTGCATACAGGTGAGGTACTTCGCTGAGTTGCTTTCATCATGACTGCCAGTGCTGTGTGCAGGGCTGCGAGCAAGCCACCACGCCACGCCATGCAGCAGCACTGGCAAGAGAGTTGCAAGCACTATAGCAAGAGCTGGGGGTGGTGACTGTGAGCTCCGTGGAAAAAGTATCTTCAGTTGGACCTGGTGTGGACTTGGTTTGGTTTCCAATGGCTCTAGTAATCCCTGAGCCTAGTCTTCCAGCCATATCAAGCAGTGCACCTGACATGTGAGCCAGGGCATCTCAGACCCTGTGGACCAGCCACATTCCAGCTGAGTACCTCTGACTAACCTCAGTTGGTACCAGAATCTCTCAGCAAGCCCAGTCTGAACCCTGACCCAGAGAACCATGAGCCCTAACAAAATAGTAGTGGTTTTAAACCACAAAATATGGGGGTAGTTTGTTATGCAGCAATAGATAACTAAAACACTAGACATAAACGGAAGAAACTTTGCTGTCTGCTTTTGATAAATTTAGGACGATTTTGTGTGATTTACCCCAACCATCTGTTTCTGTCCATGATAATTTCATTTTGCTCAAAATTTGGATCAAGTTACCTTTTAACGGAGCTAAACCTTCACCTGGGTTCACTGACAGCTTCCTGAGCCTCAGCAAAGCTTTCAGGCTCCCCAGCTGTGGCCAAGCTGGCAGTAGAGTCCCGCCTCCAGCTGCAGGCACACTCAAGCTTGCCCCAGCACCACAGCTAGCTACATGCAGCTACCTTCCACTGTGATTTTGCAAAAATTGCCACAAGTTGCAACTGTGGCTGCAGAAGTTATTTTGCATGGGCCTGGATAAACAATGTACAGATGACATTTTCTCAGGAGCCCCACATACCACAAAGGGCATCTTCGTATTTGTTGTCTTGCCTTCCTCAGAGGCAGAGTGCATTATTTCTACATGGCTGTGTCCACCATCTACAGGGAGATCTGGAACTAAGTCATTTTAAAATGAATAGGAAGTCAATGAGAATTGAATAAGACCAAGCCATTGAACTGTTTTGTTTTAGCTCTGGCTTAGGCGAAGTCCCCAGTTCCTGAATAGTATAGGAAGGAGAGTAGGAGTGGGTAGTGCCCTCAGGATCAAGTAAGTACCAGAAACGTGAGTGTCATTCTTTCAGTATGCCAACATGACTGGCATGGCTTCATAGTCAGAGGGATGTGGGTTCAGACCTGAGCTTACTATGTACATATAAGATATGTATTCTGAGCTTTAGTTTCTCATTAGTCAAATGGGTAAACCTTCCCTCAGTCAACCTCACAGGCAATATGAGGATGTCTTATTTGGGGCTTGATAGAAGCAGACCCTGAGACAAGGCTAAGTGCAGGTGGTTTATCAGGAAGAGGAGGGATCAAAGGTGGCAGAGTGGGCACTGACAAGGAAAGGATGACAACCAGCAAGAAGTTCATTATCAAGCCAGTTACCACGGTGGAAATTGCAGCTTCATCCCAAGGAAGAATCTCCGCAAAGGTGTAGACTTGATGATTACTATTCCCATTTTACAGATGAGGAAATGGAAGTACAGTGAGATATTAGACATCTTTTTCCAAGGTCGCAGTGCTATCAAGTGGCAGAATCAGAATTTAATCCAGGTTGCTGCCATAAAATAATGAAAACACACACACATGTATTTCTCTAAATTCACTGTAGAGCATGGTGTCCATGTCATAAATTATTTTTTTTTCCCTTTCTGTACCAGCATTCAACAAAGCAAATATTTGTATATGGCCATTTGGAAATTGGTATTGATAAATATACTATTATCAGCTTTAAAAACTTTAATTATATAATCCAGTTATATCAAATTTTTAGCACATCCAAGAGATTGATAGTATACTGGTAGCTCTGGAGGGTAATTGGGGAATGGGTTTCACTGCTAAGGGCTACAGAGCTTCCTTTTTGCAGTGAGAAAAAATATTCTAAAATATGGATGGTGATGTTGCAGGACTTTGAAAATACAAAAAAAAATGTTGAATTATACATTTGAAAAGTATGTGATGCTTTTTTTGATATTTGAATTTTATCTCAATAAATTTGGTTTTAGGAAGAGAAAATTATAAGTATTAAACTTTGTTCTAAGCATTTCTTAATATAGTTCTTTCTAAAGGCAAAATTCTGAATGGAAAAAAATAAAATAAAATAAAACCAGTATCCACCCTTCCAGGAATGTAAGATACTGCTTCATTTCAAATGCCTGTGTTAGTCAGTTCTCTGTCAGTATTAAAAAACAAAACAAAACTAAACTAAGATAATCAACTTATGAAGAGAAAAAGCTTATTTTGGCTCATAATTTTGGAGGGTTGAGGTCACCAGAGATTTACCCCATCACTTCTGGGCCGGTAGTGAGGGAGTACACCATGGGAAGAGCACATGGCAGAGAAAAAACAGCTATGTCAAGGCCAGAAAGCAAAAGAGAGAAAGAAGAAGGGGAAGGGCCCTCTGAGGACACACCTCCAATGACCTAAAGTCCTCCCATTAGGCCCGTCCTCTAAAAAGTTCCACCACCTCCCAATAGCACCACGGGGGTGGGGGGGACTCAGCCTTTAACACCTGGGCATTTGGGGACAGTCAACATCCAAACCATAACACAGTCTAATTTTAAGGGGGAATAGTGACAGAGTGGAGTGTTTCCAGGGGAAGTAAAGAAGATGGCAACAGAACTCATCATCCCATGAAGAACAATTAAAAGACAAAGTTGTGGTTTGAAGAACAAATGCTTAGTAAGGACACAGGAATGCTCCCTAAGTATCTGAAAATGACTGACCCACTATTGATTCCCAACATTCAGAATTTGGAACAATGGATTGAAACTACCTTTGTGCAACATGAGGAGCAGCCTGCCTTGAGAAGTACCGAAGCTCTTGTCACTCACCAGGTGACAACTGATCATTGGTCAGGGATGTTGTCAAAGTAAGCTGTCCATGGAAAGACCATAGAATGAATCGGACATGACTTTTCTGTGTTCATATATGAATACACGACCAGTGAAACTCCACATCATGTGCAAACACAAGAATGGAAGTTATACCCTATGTATGTGTGATATGTCAAAATGCCCTCTATTGCCATGTATATATGAAAGAGCAAATTCGAAAAATAAGCTCTCCTTGTTGAGGACATTAACTAAGATGGCCTAAAAGACTGTTTCCAATTCTGGAATTTGGTGCTTCCAAGTTCAATTCCTAATATTTATTTTCATTATAAATTACATGGCATCATTGGGAAAAAATGACTGGTCTTTAGAATGGTGGCTTTCTGTAAACGTCCTCCCCCCATGGCTAGTATATCCACTGTGACCAGAAAGGATAAGCTTAGCTGGGTGAAGACTGACTTCCCAGTGAAACAGTGTCTCTGAAGGGTCTGAATTCCTCAGAAGGTAGAGGAAGGAGGTGAGCAAGTCAGAGTCTGGATGGGCAGTCAGGAGGTGTGGATTCCTCTGCAGCTGGAGACTCACAGCCTAACTGACCACAGAGTAAGCTGACCTGGGACACAGGGTTTCTGGTAAGCAGGACTTTTAATGCAAAAACCTGGGGAAATGCAGATGGCTTGTCACTATAATGCTTATCTCAAAATATTAAATGAGAACTCTGTTTTTAACTAGAAAACAAGAAGCTCTACAGATTTCCTAGTGCCTAAAAAACAAAACAAACAAAAAACCTTCTGAGATGTATCTCAGAAGCCAAGGTGTTGAGACTTAAGCAGGTTGCAATGGAAGAAACTTTGAACCAGCAGATCTGGGGTTCCATTCATCCACTTTATACCTGTGTGACTTAGGAAATGTTCCCAACCTCTCTGAGCCTCAGTTTGCTCACCTGAGAAAGGAAGATGATGGCCGATTATTGGTCAGGGTCTTACTCATATCCTTTATTTCAACCACCATCAATCTACATGATGAAATTAGAAAGTTTACTCCTTTGCAGATGCTCGCCATGTTCCTAGAGGATGACTAAGGGCCATGCTGAACAATCACCATGGAAGGTGACAAGGTTCTGGTGACTTGCTGACTAGGGGAGGTCAGCCGATTGGAGAAGAACAACACCTCTACAACATAATACCACGGGACGTCCTGGGGTCCTGTCAGCTGACCCCGGGTCTGTTGACACCTGAGAAGTGTCAGTCCCTTCAAATGGCTCTAGGATTTGAAAATTGTTCCCACAAACTCAGAGGAAACTATATATTGATTAAGAGAAATATCCAAATCACTGGGGGAACACTTCTGTTCCCAGAATCTGTAATGACCTGTTCCTGGGCTCGTTCTGCTTCTCTCTGATGTTGCTCCTGTGAGCAGCCTGGAACTCTGGACTCCGATGTCACCTGAAGTCCACCTCCCTCCCTCAGGACCCAGACTCCCTATTTTTTACTCTAATATCCTGCACCAGCTGTGCTTCTTTGTGCTGACTCCTGCTGTGGTCTAGACTCAGGTGTAAAGGGGCTGGACGGCCATCTGCTCTTTCCGGAATCAGAGCAATGACGTGGGCTTTGGAGGCTGGGATCTCAGGACTTGAGCTCCAATAAATTTCTGTGAACTTGAGTCTCTTCTTTCTGGTATGAGGCGGGGGAAAAGGGTTTCAGGGGGAGGGTGGATTCCAAAATTGGCTGATAATGGACATCCAGAGAACAGGTTTCTGGGACACTTTATAGCACATTGTGAGCTTTCCAGATTGGTGATTCTCAAACTGCAGAAGCGTCCTCTAAAGAGCTTGTTAAAATGCAATTTCCTGGGCCCAATCTCCCTGCCTTTCTAATTCAGTACATCCCAAGAATCTGGATTTTTAAAATAAGCTCTGGGTTGCTTCTGCTCTATGTACATGTTCTGTGAGTTTTATCTCTTAGAACCATTGTTGAGAATTGAATTGCTTTAAAGAGCTCTTCAGGCCAAGTTAGAAATATGTATCAATAACTTTTAGGGAATGAGAATTTAATTTAGTCTTTGGTGCTTTGCCTCAGGGTGTTACATCGGCCAGGGTAGGCACTGTTTAGAGCTGAAACAAGCTTTGGGGTATATTTCATTTTCTGAATGTTTGGGTGTTGTTGAAATGGAAAATTGACCCAGGATCTTAGATAGCTTTGCAGATACCACCTCTGCTGTCTTCCCAACACTCAGGAGAGTGCAGCACAGATGTTGTTATACCAATTTTATGGATGGGGAACTTGAACAGGCTCCTGGGCTAAAGGAAGACCAACAATTGTGCTATTTCCCTGTGTGAAAGCATTTGCTCATGTAGTCCCTTAGCTGGCCCTCCCTGGAGTCTGTGTTGCAGGTAGCACCATTGACTCTGTTCCAAGGTGAGGACATCCAGGTGCCACAGAAGTCCCGGGACCTGCTTAAGTTCACAGAGTGAGTCAGTGTGGACTGACTGAGTCAGATGGGACTGACAGCTCTGGAGCATGATGGCATACTGTCCTCAACACACATGACCGCCGGTCTAGACATGATGGCCCACTGAGGCTGGAACCAGGAGACATTGACCTTTGGCCTGAGGCCACCCTGCTCCCCAAATTTCAGATCCATTGTAGAGGGTGCTGGATGTGCCCATCACATCAGTGGCCTATCTCTTTGTCCTGTAAAGGAGGGAAATAAATGAAAAGGGATCAGCTCCCAGGGCTTCCTTTACAACTTCCCAGGTACCACAAGGACAGGTGGTAGATTAATTTAAAAGAAATGGGGGAAAAGTGGGAATAAAAAAAGTGACAAATAGGCTGGAGTGTGCTCCTAAAATTGTGACCTCCTGGCTGGGTACCTGCATTCTGTTGCAGACTCTTCTGTGTCAGCCTCTGTCTCACACCTCCTGGGGCACACAGGAACCAGTGCCTCTCCTCTTTCCACCCCCCTGGTAGGCAGGGGAAGATGATGGATCTCCTCCTGGGTAAACATTTCCACAGGAAGCATTTATCAGATGTCAGCAGGGGCAGCGGAGCAGACTGGGGAGGGATGGGGCTCAGAGAAGCATCTCTCCTCCCAGACCGAGGTGCACATTCACGCCCTCTCTGTCTTGGGTCCCTTCTCCTATCAGCCATCTGTCCTAAAACACTCCACATCCAGGCCACCCTTTGGTTCTGAATAACAGGCTTCTGACCAGCTGGGCATCTGTAATGTAGATTGTCCAAATCCTTCTAGAAAAAAAAAAAAAAAAAAAAAACTCTGAAGAAAATGTCTGGAAGACCCCAGCAAATAAAACTCCATCATCAATGCCTGTGTGCTGCACTCTACCAGGCTTGGATACTGTAGCCATCCCCTACTCTGAGGGGGCTGGGACTCATACCCGACTTTCTGGCAGGGAAGGCTGACAATGCAGAATCATGGAGTGGGGTGGGGGTTCTGTTGTGGCCTTCACCCTCACTGCATCTGCCACTCCCTCAGACCTCCTGCAGCCTGATAAACTTTCTCTGCCGAGAACCAGTATAGTTCAACTCCAGGGGGATTTGAATCTCCACTCTGCCCACTATTGATGGTGTGACCTTGGGCAAGTCACTTAACCTTCCTGTACTCAGTTTCCTCTCTATATTCTTTTTCAAAACTTACTGAGGACTATCTCCGTCCTATGCACTGTGCTAGGTGCTGGATAAAAATGTTACCTCCTGAAAAAAATTTATTGTGAGGCTTAATTGAGACAATTCAGTAAAACACTTTGCAAAATTGTTGTTGAACAGGACTCCATAACTGTTCGTGAATACAGTTATTCTTCCTACTATTATTTCTATGTTTGTCTTTGGGAAAGAGTAGAATCTGGAAGGTTGTTAGAAGTCTTTCATGCCTCTGACCCTCCTAGGCAGTCACTAGATCTCCTCTTGTCCTCTGTCCTGGTGGAGAGGTACTGTCGGCCCAGGCATCTCTGTGGAACCACGGTCGTTCACTCACTCGCTCTTTTAATCTTTTGATAAAAATGCATTGAGAGTGTCCTTTGTGCTGGCACATAGGTTAAGCACTCCGGAAGATGCAAACAGAATTAAGAAGGGCACCAGTCTTTGGCAACACCCAGAGCCGGTGGAGGTTGCAACTCAAGTTAAAAACAAAGCTAGAGAGCAGACCGAAAGTAG